GGGAGGTTTCTCCACTGGCCCTGTTGAAAAGGAGGACTGGGAAAGGCGCTTTCCCCATGGCTTCCAAGATGGCCCTATTCCTTGGGAATGCCACTTTTCTCGAGCCTATGGGCCAGAGGCATATGCAGTCAAGAGACCCTCCTCCCATTTGCCACCACTAGAGAGTAGGGGGATGGTGTTGGAGAATCGTGGATGAGGGGGCTTTTCTGGCTGAAATAACACAGAAGAATAAAAAGAATTCGGGGGGGGGGTGTAGTGCTGCCTCAGCTTTGAGGTGGGCATTGTTTTCCCAATAGACTCAGATTCCTGAGCTTGGTCTGAGACTTGATGATGCCTCTCCCAATTTTCAGGGACTCGGAGCCCTCCCTGTATCAATCATGCTCAGGGTGGGATACAAAAATAAAAATTCAGTGTGAAACTGCAGGCCACAGTACTCATCCCCAGTATAAAATCAGCACTGACACCCCAACAGACAAATCAGCTGATGGTCATTAAGAGCTTCACGTGGAGCTGAAAAGGAGCCACTGTCAGCACCGGCTAGGTCTCCGAGGGGAAGGCACCACAGAACTGGGGCACCACAACCAGGAAGGCCCTGCCTTGCATCTCGACGGAAAATACAGCTTTCAAAGGCGGGACAGGGAAGAATGCCCCCAGGTGGATCCTAATACCTATGTGAAGGTATGTTCAGAGTACATCACATGCCTCACCACCCTCTTTGCAACAACTTTTCAAGCTAGACCAGTATTGCTATTCCCATGTTGCAAAAGAAAAAGTGAGGTTGACTTGCTAAAGCTACTCAGTAGGTTTATATTTGAGGCATCATTTGAACCAGAGAGGGTTTTTTTTTTTTTTTTTTTTTTGACCATGGCATCAGACCAGATCTTTGGGGAGAGCCACAGATCTTGCCCTCTTGTGCATCCATTACGCAGTTCGAGGATTGAAAGGTATAACCGGGCCCTTGAATTCAGAAGGGAGGGAAACCTTTGGCTACCAGCCTCTCTGAAGTCACTCTGCCAGTTCGCTCTTTTGGTGGGATCCCACGCTGAGTAAGAGCTCCGTGCTCCTCAGCTGACTTGCATTCATCTTTCAGCGCCGAAAGCCTTGCCATTTTTATATAACATGTGCTGGAGTTTTATAGTTCTGCTAACAAGTTGGGGAGCTGCTGGCTCACAATGTACTGATTGTCACGGCCCTCTTAATGGGCTCCCGCTGCTTAGTCCTTTCTGATTGAGTTTTGAAGCTGCCCTTCCAGTTTGGGCTTGTGTATTTCCTTTATAAAATGTGGTGATTTGATGACCTTTCCATTAGGCCAGGTGTGCAGTTGGAAGGAACATACGTTCTGGAACGATTGTTCTGTAGCAAAGAATGCCAAGACTTCAACAACTGAGAGCAGCCACAATTTTTTGCAGCTTGCAAAGATGCTTTTGAGAAGCTGTGCTAAAATGCAACCTGATTTCCAAACAGACTTTGGCATATACAGTATCTTCTACACCCTAACCAGTGAATCTTGACTGTAGTTGAAAATACTTAAAACAAACAAAAGAAAAGTGAAAGGGGAGAAAGAAAACAGCTCCTGCCATCATGGGGGCAATGTTGAGCCTGCAGTCTTTCAATTTTAGTGCATGTTTCAGTGATTTTAGGATAGAGTGAATTGCCCCAAAACAGGCAATGAATGCATCATCAAGAGAGGAAATACATTAGGGAAAAAGAGAATAAGAAAGAACAGCAATTTGCATATCAGACCTGCTCATGCTATTTTATTTTGTGAAATATATCACAACTGAAACAGATTTATTTATGTATTTGCCAAAGTTACTTATTTACTTATTTATTTATCACAATCCATTTCACTACAGTGCAGAAAACTGTAACTAGGGGACCTCTTTTCCTGCTTCTCCAGGTGTTCAGTGTGAATGAGCTGAGGTTCTTAAGTACATTTATACCAAAATTGGACAGGTCAGTGCTTCAAACAGAGGATGCCTTTGAACAAAGGACTGCCCTCCATAAAAGAGGACACCGGCTTCCCCTAGCTGGGCTTCCCAAAAAGTGAACGCTACAAGCACTTGCGGCGCAGCCCTCATTGACTACTCCTGGTTGCCTCGTGTATTTGCAATGTTCCACTGAATCAGGGTGAGAACCAAGAGTGATCCCAAGCTGGGATCCTGGCTATGACCTGGGGCAGGAATTTTACTTAATTCCCCCCTCCCCATTTATACAATGGAAACCAGAATAGCCTGCCCGTTGCGTTCAGATGAGTGTTACATGAAAGTACAAAGTAGAAATTAAAAGAACAGCACAAATATTAATTTAAAATCAAGTATCCAGTTGTGATGATAGGAAACCGTCATCCCAGGGGCATTTCAGACACAACACGTCCCCTAGAGTGAAAGCGATTCTCCATGGTCAGTGGCATGAAACTGGCAAGTAAACTGTCACATGCACATCCCGTCCCTTCAGTGGGGAAGATAAATGGGGAACCAAACCCTTTGATGGCTTCCTGGTTTGAATAAGCTCATGAAATGTGTGCATGTGAGCCAATTCTCCCATGCATTTCATGCTTTTTCTCACATAGAATGGTGAGGATTGTGCAATATGGGAAGGGAATCACAAGGTTTTATGGTTGTTGGATTGAAAGGATTCTGGCCTTGTAGATCTCATCAGTCCCAGCCAGTATGACTAGTGGTTAAAGGCAATTGAATCCATAGGCCAACAATATCCAAAGCCTTCAGATATTAGCCATTAAGTCTTCTGCATCTGAGCAGTTATTCTTGATTTGTAGGTATGACTGGAACAAGACTAGACAGTTTGCCATTGATTTAGCTCAATGTAGATGTAGTTTTGGATCCAGACTTAGAGTAGCATCATTGAAATTAATGGGTCTTAATTTAATCATGACTCTCTGAAGTCCTATTTGTATAAACAGGTTTACTAGCTCTGGATTCAACTCATCATGTTTGGAAACCTTGAACTCACTTTGCTTAGTCGTTATATTTTGCTTTGAATTGTATTACAGGATAATAATCTATCCACAAATAAAAAGACAGAGGATCAGTAAGTAACTTAGCTGCTTTATTGGGCTAATCGTTAAGAAATGAGCTATGTTATAAGCACTATATTATTATAGCACTATTTTCTAAAATTTTGCTATCAGTTTGAATGGCGCCTGCCCGCAGTTGCTTAACTGTTGTAACTGCATGCATTCATACTGTATGCCACTGGTCTAGCATACAACAAAATGTTGCAGCATCCATTCCCCATTAAGAGGAGAGCTCCTGGTTGGGGTTCCACTCCACCCATTCTCTTCCAACGAGGAGTTCCATGAACACCTGCACCTTGTCTGGGTTCAGACACTTTGATAACTACACTCCAAGGGGTTGTGTTGTCTAACCCAGCCATGGTAAGATGTTCCCCATAAAGGGGACCCACAGCTTGTTGTGGGGTTGTGAACTGTGGGTTGCTCACAATGGCGAGTTATTTTCACTGGGTTCAGGCATTCCATTGTTCAGTTACAATCCGTAGTCAACCCCCGAATGTGGGTTATTGTGTTGATTGAATTCAGCTGCACACTCATTTTTGGTTTTTCATTTCCAGCGGGCACTCGGGGCTATGCAGGCAAGCACCGTTGGCTGGAGGGGGTTGCGCTTGGTTCCAGTGTGTTTCAGGAGTGCAGAGACAGAGATGTTTCCCTTGGCTCTGGAAAGCTTAGAGTTCCCCACAAATACTGTTACCTCCCCCTTGATTCCTTGTGCCCCCATTCATGTCTGCATCCCCCTCCAGCGCACCACAGCCCTTGTCCACCAAAGATCCCTTTTTTTCTTTTCCAGTTTTCTCTTGAAAATCTCTGTTTTTTTGTCTTAACCCAACCTCTCATTCAGCAGACTAAATTGTGGCGTAAATAGCTTTCAGTCTCTATTAACCTTGCCTTTGATAATAGTAAGTACCACGTTCCAATACTCCTTGGTTATTTTCCCACATCTGTAAGAACAACAACATTTGTGGCTTCCCAAAGACAAACTGGTTTTTTTTCTGATAAAGTCTTTATGGACTAGAACCCACTCTTTCAGAAGTATGACGTGTCTTGTACTCCGTTGGCAGATACCTTCTCTTGTGTTTGCAAGCTCTTGGCTTGTTATGGCCTAAACTTGCATAGGATCACTTATTTAATATATTTAAATACAATTAAATTTCTAAGTAGTGTACCAAATTTAATGTTTGTAAACCACCCAGAGAGCCCTCTGGGCTACTAGTGTGGTATATAAATGCAAATAACAAATAAATAATAATAAAATATATTCTAATAGACATTAAACAATTAATATGTAAAATATGTCCATATAAAACATTGTATTGATCATTGTTATAGGTCAAATTGTGCTTATTTTCCTCCTGTTTCCTATTTATATGGTTCTATTGTTATTTATTTTTATCTGTATTTTAATTATATTTATATTGCACTGTGAGCCACCCAGAGAGCCTTTGGCTATGGTGTGGTATACAAATGCAATAAATAAAATTTCATGGCCTTCAGGCAGTACTGCTCAGAATTGTTTTCTTTATCTCTCCATATATATCTCAGTCTGCAAAACCAAACAATGTTTCCCGCATCTGACTAAATGGACATGTAAGCTTCCTGCTGGCTGGGGAATGCTGGGAGTTGTATACACACTCATATGGCAGGCATGGAAGGCTCCAAATATGGGGAATCCTTGGGGAGACTTCACCGACTTTACCGGGAAGCAGCAAGGCTGTAATCAGAACTCAGTGATCTTGAGCAGCCTGCCATTTTAATTTCCCACAATGCTGTCATGCTTCAGAGCATTATGGGTAATTAAAATGGTGGGTGGCGTACAGGTCTAGTCCTTTAGCAGATGGTGCCCAAGACCAGCATTTATACACCCCTCTGAAATTGCTCCATATGTAACAAAAATGACTCCTAGGATGTGCTGCTTGTTCTCCGGCTTTGCACCACTTCACTCTATGTTTTCACTCTTTCCCTCCAGTGCCCATCCCCTCAAAAGCGAATGGCACCTCCCTCTCCTCCCTGACAATGAATAAGGACTCTCTGATAGGAGGGGTGACAAACCCGAACGAAGTGTTCTGCTCCGTGCCAGGACGGCTGTCCCTGCTCAGCTCCACCTCGAAGTACAAAGTGACAGTTGGGGAAGTTCAGAGGCGACTTTCACCCCCCGAATGCCTCAACGCGTCTCTTCTTGGGGGCGTCCTCCGGAGGTAAGGGCACGAGAAAACCCATGGATTTTGTGGCTGATTCTGCACCAGCTTTCCAATTGTCATGGGGTTTTGTTGGACATTGCTTTCAACAGAAAACGCTAGTATTTGGTTGCTTATAACTTCAGTGTTTTACGTCCTACCTGTATAAAACTTGAGACATGTTCCTTCCCCTCCAAAGACCAGAGCCATGAATTATCGACAGGGGGGGCAAAGGACCCCCATTTTATTATCAGTTTAGAAAGACATTCATCCTACAAACTGTCAGTGAAAAAGCCAGGAGTTCTTCTCCTGTTTGTAACTTCTCTGTCTTCCATTCAAACGACATGCCATTTTCAGACAGTTTTCTACTACTTTGAAGGAGCAAAGCCACCAGTTATCAGGTAGATAAAAGACCCTCCCCCATTTTACAAACAATAAACACACCCCAGTACCTCTCTCTTTCCTCAAACTTTTATTTTTAAAAAAAATCTGTGTAGGCTGTTCTAGGCTGTAAGTAAAATGAGTTGATTTGCTATTTCTGTTGTGTTTATTACTTGTTGTTCGTCAGTTTGAACTATTATTTTGGACGAAGACCACCGTCAGAACCAAGCCAGAAGTGTTAGCAACATGACCTCCAGTTTGTCAGACACAAAACTAGGGCCAATCCTTTCTCCTCTTATAAGCGAAATATCCTCTGTTGGAAGGTTCCCTTCTGTGAAGGGCCATCCAGTCCAGGAACCATCATAGCTATGGCTCCTCAGCAGCAAGCGCTTGGGCAGTGGACTGAGCACCCCGACCCCCAGGCCACTCAGTCACAGTCTGCCACACTACAGGAAATCGGTTCCCATACATACATACATACATACATACAAAGTTGCACCTGTACATCTAACACATGTACATTTTATGCAGATCTGTGCCCCTTGTGGCATCTCTTTTGGGACCCATAAGTGGTCATCCTACAGGAGAAGGGCTCTAGGGCAGGTCTCTGGGGCAGTTAGTCTGGCCCGAAGCTGCAGTCTAGAACCTGCCCAGGTCACGATTCAGCCAGAGGTTGCTGTCCCGGCCCCCGTGACCAAGGCCTGTGAACACCCCAAGGCATGTGTGCTCCCCCAGGGGAGGGGATAAAATGAGTTTTGCCACCCACTGTGGGGTTAACTATGGTTTTGGCATGGTTTCTGGGGCATGGCAGAACATCTACAGACCAGTTAATTTGGCAATAATTATCTTCTTGTGGTTTTAGTCTCTTGGACCTCACTTTAAAATGATGTCCTGTGTTCCCCATGGTTGCTGAAGGAGTAGCATGGGTTAAAATTCTAAAACATGCTATTTGGCATCTGGTTCTGCCTGTTTGCTATTCGATCCGCTCAAGCAATTTCACCTCTCTGCCTTTTTCTCTTAGGGCAAAATCTAAAAATGGTGGAAGATGTTTAAGGGAAAGGCTGGAGAAGATAGGGTTAAATTTACCTGCTGGGCGACGCAAGGCAGCTAATGTCACCTTGCTAACATCACTGGTGGAAGGTAAGGCTTCCTTCTCTTTGGCAAAACTTGGAATTCTTCCCAGGAGAACCCATGTATGTCTGAAAGTTTAGTGTTCAAAATGTGCTCACTTTCAATTTTAAATGAGAAGGTTGAGCTTCAGCTGTGATTGGAAATATGGATAACCTGCCTTCCAGGCCCTCAAGGTGGCTCACAAAAAGAATTAAAAATCAAGGCCATTTTAGAACAACGATAAATGCAGTATAAGATACAATGTCAGGATACTAGGAGTAAGAAAGAGCAAAGTCTTCGTGAAATAAAAGTAGCTTTGCCATTTGCCTGAAGGCCAGCAAAGAGGGGGCTAAGTGTGCCCCTCTGGAGCGGGAAGGGGGTTCCCTGATCTGGGTGCCACAACCCCAGCCTCCACTCTGCCCCCCTCTGTCCTCTTTCAGGGAGACGCATTGCTTCTTTTTCGGGCCAGGGGAGCAGCAACCGCAGGGAAAAGACCATGAGCATCAACTGGAACAGAAAACATGACCCACCTTCCCTTTACTTTTCCAGGGCAGCTCACAACATCATAAGAAACAGTACAAGTACGATGAAACAGTAGGAAAAGAAATGAAACAATGTGTGCACGGCATAGTCAGAAAGGAGCAGCCCATTCCAATAATAGACTGGAACATCAAAGCTTCTCCAAGCTTAGAATGAGAAGGCTAGCAGTTCTTAGGAAAAGAAATAACTTTTTTTTCCCCTGGGAGAGGGAGAGGGAACTGAAGCAGAATGACCTTGGTAGTGGAAAAGTGAGAACCTTGACTAGCCAGTGCTCACATTATATCACTCAGCCAGTGGACCTAAGAACCCTCGTAGGTGTGAAGACAGCCTTGAGCCCTTGCTGATAAGCCTGAAATCGGCAGTGAAATGTTTCATTGCATCTCCAAAACACGCACAGCCTCTTGCACGATCCAAGAACTGTTGATACTTTGGGTTGGGGCAAAGTCAAAGAACAAGGCACTGGTTCTTCCAGTTCAGAGCAGTAACCGGGCTTGTGCAATATCACTGGGCTGGTCCCAGTCCCCACTGGGAAGCAGATTCTCCCTTTGCTCAGAACTGCTCTGATTGGATTGGCTTCACTGCCAAGGCCCATTTCAGTGGTAAAGAAGAGTCTTTTTAAAATGAAAGTGCCAGACGTATTTTAGAGCGGAGAAAGGTGCAAAGGGCCGGTGCCAAGGGCAGGCAGGAGGGGGCATGGCTGGGCACCTGCTGATAAAAGGGACCTTGCCAAGGGTGCTTAAAAGCCCCAGCCCACCTGTGCCAGGTGCTTGGGAAAGAAAGCAGAGAGCTGTGAGTTGTTCGGGCAGTTGCAGAGCCGGGGGGGGGGGGGAATGGCATTTTCTCCACCAGGTCTCCACCCTGGAAGTTTGTTCTGGAAGGCGGCCTCACAGCAGCTCTGATCTCCAGACGGTCACTGTCAGGGCCGCCTCGCAGCAACTTTCTAGGGAAGGGTCCTTTGCAGCCGATCAGAACGTTTGAATGGGAGAGCCGATCAGCTCCTCCCCTGCCGCCTCTGCACGCGGTGCAGGTTTTCAGCCACGCAGCTTGTGCACAGCGCTGCAGGCTTTGCTCAGGAATATGGGAGCAAGGAGGGACTCCGGACGTGGAGGAGCACCGAGAGACACAGCCTGCCTGCCTCGCCTCTGTGTGGAGCATCCAGGCCTCCGTGGGGCACCCCACTCAGGCTGCGTATCCATCCTCAGTGGAAATGCCCTCTCACTGGTGCAATTGATCCATCCTCAAGCATCCCTGTGGAAATAATTGGAGCTGATGGTAATCGATCGCACCCAGCCCCTGAGACCCCGCTTAGACAGGCAGCGTTAATTCATCTCAGCTCCCCTGCTGCTTGCTGGATTAGGCCATCTGTCCCAAGTGTATTAACCTAGTTGCCAGTGCCTTTTGTGCCCTCTTTGTGGGAGGCAGGGCTTCTCTTTAGCCATCACGAGCAGACGCTGCTGTTGGACGCCCTGGCAAACCCAGCAAGTTTCTAGCTCTCATGGCCATGCAGGTTTATTCTTACCATCCTCTGAAGAAAACAAGAAAGGTCAGACCAGTGTGCTTCTCCTCCAAAGACATCCAGACCTCTGGGACCTTTGGTGGAGAACACACATCAGCAGTCAGTGAACAGGGAGACAGTGAATTGGGGCGGGGGGCGGGGGAGTCACTCCCTGTCTCTCTGAGTCTGATTTGTTGTATGCATTGGCCTGGAATGCAGCTGTTGCTTTTCCGTAGACAGATCCATGTGGAAGAATGGAGGGAAAGGGAACGTTGTTTCACTTGTTTCTTTCATGTGACTCTTTAGAGCAGGGGTCTCAAAGGCGCGGCCCGCGGGCCAATTGCCGGGATGGGCGGGGCACGGGGGGGGCCCTGCGGCCTCCGGGAGCGAGGCGGGATGAGCGGCCCCCCCACCACCGCGGGGGTGGAATACTTGATGCGTCCCAGCCTCACCCAGACTTCCCCCAGGTCAGTGGAGTTTGAGACCCCTGCTTTAGAGGAAGCTGCTTTTTAGACGCCTGTTGGTCAGTGTTTTCCCCCCAGCTGAGAGAACCCCTCTGGGAGAATGAAACCAACACCTGGGTGTCACGCCTCCGTCCTATTCCCTGTAAGGAAAGCCCAGTCGGTGCAAATCCACCCTCTTACTATGTTGGCCAGCCAGCAGAATGTGGGGAGAATGCAGGATGAAACAGCTTTTTGCTTTGGCCAGACAATTTTCAAGGGCTTTTTCTTCCCCCAGCAGAATACAAATGGCAGAACCAAGGAACAGTTTGGACTGGCTCAGATGTAATGCTGCCGCTGTGTCTAAACCTGCAAAGCTGTGCTTAGTTTAAATTATGATTAACAAAGAAGGACCACCAAGATGAAATACAGCAGAAAGGATCTGCATAGCTGAGTGTTTGAAGTACAAAATAATCAAAGGCACAAATATAGGATGGGGTGACGAAACTTGGCAGTTTCAGGAACCTGATCATGACACGAACATGAGCCAGCAGTTGTGAAGTGACTGCTAAAAAAGCAAATGCAATCTTGAACAGTAGTAACTGAAGCTCAGTGCTGAGATTTCAAGGGGAAATGGCTCCACCCTGTTTTGCACTGGTCAGGATGCCTCTGGAGTTCTGGGTAGCACATTTTACGGGCACTGGAAAACTGGAGCATGTCCAGTGCAAGGAAAGCAGGATGGCAAGGGATCTGAAGAGCAAGTCCTGTGAGGAGTGGTTGAAAGAATTAAGTGTCTTTAACTTGGAATAGAGAAGGATCCGGGGAGACGCAGCTGGAGTCTTCAGGGCAGGATCATGCAAAAGGTTAAGCAGAAGACAGCACTAGTGCCCAGTGGGTGGGAATTGCATGGAAATGGATTTGGGTAGAACATGAGGGAAGCCTTCCTCACCGTGCGAGCTGTGTGACGGTGGAAAAGACTTTCTTAGGAAGTGACAGGGTCCCCTTTGCTTGACTTCCATATCTTGCAGAAGGATTCCATAGATGCAAGCTGTACTTAAAAGGGGGGTTGACTAAATGACCTCTAACAACCCTTTCCAACTCTAAAATTTTAGGAGAAGCCATGATCACAAACCACAGTTTCATCCTGGTTTGTTTGAATAAGCCATGGCATAAATTAATTGCTGCTTTCTGGCATTCAGATGGAACTGGGACCTAGTTCAAAAGAGGGAAGAAAAGGTTTTGTGGATGCTTGGACAGGGTGTGGGGAAGGGAGGGCAGAGCAGAAAGGAAGACGGGGCTCATTCCATTACTACTAAATAATAGTTTAGCATTATGCCCCCCAAAGGGCCAATCAGTCCTGCCCAATTGCTTTGAATGGAGCTTTGCTACAAGTCACATTTCTTAGACTGCATGTGGAGCGTTTTCTTTGACATTTGAAAACATATTTTTAAACACCCAGAGGGCCCTTTAATTCTAGGACTGTGGCTATACTTAATCAATAAACAAACTTAGTGTGGAGACAATCATTTTAAAGAGGGAATTTTAATGAAGACTGTTGAAAAAGGTTTTACTCCTTAGGGAAGTATGCAGAGGTTTCTCTCCCCATTCCTGCCCCCCGGCATTCAAAAAGAATGGACGAACAGCCACGCTGTATCATACCAGTAATCCGTCCAGTCCAGTATTCTGCCAAACTGTGGCAAACCAGGTGCCTGCAGGATCCCTGCTTGCCCATGTTCCCCGGCATCTCGTGTATACAGCCACACTGCTTCCAGTCCTGGAGGATTCATAGAGGCCTCAGTAGCAGTAACCATGAATAGCTGCCTCCCCCCCCCACCTTGTCCGGTCCCTTTTAAAGCTGTCCGGATAAAGGCCATCGATGCCTCCAATGGCCACGCAACCCACAGTTTAACTACGCACAGCATGACGGAACGCTTCCTTGTCTTCCATTCCCAACCTGGATTTTCTTTGATTCGTCAGCAGGAGTCAAGTTTAATTGCCAGGGTAGTTCTCAGAAGGCGCTTACTCCTCTTTGAGGCTCGCTTGCTGAGCCATGACATCGGTTGGCAGATAGTGGCTCGTGGCCAGCCGCAATGCCACAGTGGCTGCCAGGTGCCGCCGGGTGAATCTTAGCCTGCTCTGGGCAGCCGTGATGTGATGCGAGCTGCGCTGGCTTGGGACCAGGGCAGGTGAGGCCACGGATGTTGGAGAAATCCACAGTGGATTCAGATACGTTTGAATTTCTGTGACCCTGACTCTCTTGAGCCTGCACCAGTGCAGATTCTTCAGCATCAGGTGGTGGGGTGTGTGCCTGTTGCTTTTTAAGTTCTTGTTACTGTGACATTACAGCAAAAGAAAGATGTCTGTAGATGTCTGTATCAACGAATACATATGAAATACATACTTCTCAAAATACCACTTTCTAGCAATAATGCACAAGTTTCAACACAAGTGGACCAGATATGCAAAGAAGTATATATTTAAAGTTGGTGTCTACCCAGAACAAAACACTGAGGTGCAGAGTATTTTATTGAAAACTCCAGAAATTCTCTTTCCTCTCCCCACGTTTTCCTTTTGCCCGTGGTGGCCAGCAGCCTGCCATTATTTCACATCCGCTCGGCAAGTTCAAACCTTACCGGGCTCTTTTTTGCCACTCTTTTTCCTCTCCTGCTGCCTTTTTTGATTGTGTGTGTCTGCAAACCGTGGCATTTCCTCCCCTCTTTAGCATGGACATTGCAGTTTTGACCACATATGGAATGACACTTGGATAACTGAGACTGCTATCAATATATATATATGAACAATTGCTAGATATAGTTTTCCTTTGAAAATACAACCAGTCACTTTTGTTTATTACATCGCACACTTCCATTTCTTCAAAAGTCACTGGTGCTGAGGTGTGGGCTGATGTACAAATTGATTTGTTTCCTCTGTTCATCACTTCATTAAAGAGAAAAGGGCTTTTAGTTGCTGGATAGCCTAAGCACTCAGAAAAGGTTCCACTGAATTTCAGTGGGAATTAGTTTGCAGCCTTATTCATGTTGTCTAAAGAATAGGGCAGAGTGGATAGATTACAAGATTCAGGCTACAATCCTACGCACACTTAATTGCGAGTAAGTTCCATCAAATTCAATGTGATTTACTTTGAAATGAACACGCTCCGGATTTCACAGTAAGTGACGCATTGGAATATCTCTGTGTGTAGGTGATTTGGCTCATACCGTCCTTCACACACATGTATTCGTCTTGCAGGGGAAGCTGTTCACCTCGCCCGAGACTTTGGTTACGTGTGTGAGACAGAATTCCCAGCCAAGGCTGCAGCGGAATACCTCTGCCGCCAGCACTCGGACCCTGGCGAACTCCATGCTCGGAAAAACATGCTACTGGCAACCAAGTGAGTACCTACAACACTTCTTGTCCCTTTTGGATTAGAAGAAAAGCCTCTTCTGCCCTCCCCCCCCCCGCAAAAAAAATTCAACAAATTTCCCCCTAAATTCAAAATCTGACAAAATTTCAAGGTTCACAATTAAACTTTGGGGGGATTTGGAAAATTTTCAAATTCAAAATTTACCTTTTTTACAGTGAATGTAAATGAATGTTAAAGCAATAATTTTAAGCATCACATTCCCAAAATTCCTGAGAAGGCGGGTGCTGTCCTACAAATCACATATGATTTCACTCCCCACCAAAATCTACTTAATCGTCAATTCAGTCTTAAAAGAGTAAAAAAAAAAATCAAATGAATTGCAGCTTGCAAAAAATAAATTTAGAATGTTCTCCTCATTAATTATGACTTACAATGATTACAAGGGCATTTCGAGTTCTTTAGGGTATAGTGATACCTTTGAAAGGACAGTTCCCATACCTGAAATGCAGCTCAGCATTATGGTCAGTTTCACTGATCCATATGGCTATACCAGTCTGAGGAATTTCACATGCTGGGGGCAGGCACTTTGCAACCCGAAACAAGGCCAAGGCAGCCCAGAATACTTTTCAAGAAGGACGCCTGCACTGTGGCTGGGAAAATCTAGCTTCCCCAGCTGCTGTGAAGAAGCGGCTTAGCTCAGAAGTGGAGTGACTGATGGGAGGATCCCTGCTAATAAGAAAAGTACGGGGCTGCCTCGCGGCATGCCCTGGTTCCACTGCACAGCTCAAGAGCCCAAGTTGCCTGCTCCAAGGCACGATCCGTCCCAGTCACATGCATGTGATCTGGGGCATATCTTGAGCGGAGCCGGCTGGAGCCAGGGGTCAGACTAGATGGCCCAGGAGAGCCCCGTCTGACTCGCTCTGTTTCTATGTTCTTCCATGTGTCCCTGGAGGTAAAACCTACTGCAGTTTTCTCAACAGTAGCTGTACTGAGATCTGGGGTTTATGTGGGGCTGACCCCAAGGCTGGTCTGCAGCTAGCGCAAGGTACGGCCATGTGGCTGTCACCAGCAGCGGCCCCTTTCCAGCATGCATCTGCTTTGCTGAGGGAACTGCACTTGCTCCCCACTCTGGTTGGCCACGCTTGGGGTGTTCCTGCTAGCAGGTAAGGCCCTACAGAGCTAAGGGCCAGGATACTGGAGGAGCACCTCCTGTACTGACCCATCCAGCCCCTGAGGTCGTCGGAGGGCATGTGCCTGGAAGCTCCCCACGGACCTCAGCGCTGATGAGCATCTACCTGGAGCTGGCCTTTCAGTGGCTCTTCTTCCTGCCCAGTCAACCAGGTCTCAACAGCACATTCTTTTCGCTGCTCACGAAAGCCAGTTTTATTTCAAGAAGTCTTTTCAGTCTTGAATTTATTTTAATTTAATTGTTTAATTCTTTTAATTCACCATTTTAATTGCAGTCTGTTGTAACCCCCCCCCCCAACATTTTATATGTTGTTTTATTCTTTATATGTTTTATTATGGCAATTGTAATCCTTTTATTGTTTGCCGCTCCCAAGTTTGTTTAGATGTGAACCAGTATATAAAAGTTGTAAAGAAAAAAAGAGTGCATGGGAATGCAGCCTTCAGAGCCCTGTGCATTTTGGTGCAGGTGAGGGAGAAGCAGGCATATAATTCTACCTGTCAGTCAAACCTGAAGGTTATGGGCTCAGGCACTTGGCCGACTGAAATTCATTTTTTTATTATTGGAACTTACTTTTGAGTAAATGCTAAATTGTACCTGAGTCATGTCCAGGGATTTATCATGTGGACATCTGCAGAAGCAACTCGATCCAGCCTTCAATCATGCTGAAACTGCTGTCTGGAAAACGAGACAACTCCCGAACCATAGAGTTGCTATCCCTGGTAGAGCTCAGGCTGATGAACAGATTGTTTTGGGGACATGGATTCCATGCGGCTTTCCCTGTGTTTTGCTTTCACTTCAAGGTCACCTCTCCCCATTTCTCATTCCAGGCAAATCTGCAAAGAGTTTGCTGACTTGATGGCCCAAGATCGCTCTCCCCTTGGGAACAGCCGCCCAACACTCATCCTGGATCCCGGTGTCCAGAGTTGCTTGACCCACTTCAGCTTAATAACTCATGGCTTTGGGGGCCCCGCAATCTGCGCTGCCCTCACAGCATTCCAGAACTACTTGGTGGAGTCACTTAAAGGGCTTGATAAAATGTTCATGAACAGCACGGGCAACGGGCACCCAGTTGGTGACTCCAAAACAGCAGAAAAGGATGTGAAGCATCGGAAATGACCCGCCCAGTTCTCCAGCCTTCCCTAGCAGGAGGGTTCCCCCCCGGTTCCCAGTTCACGAGATAGGAGGCCTGGTTTTACCTCCTTCAGGAAAAGAAAAACCAGTTGGATCCCCCTCTCTCCCACCATGTTTTTGAACTGTAACAGATCTATTTCTGAAATGAAGTCAATGAAAAGTGAAGATTGGAGAGGACTGAAGAAGCAGAAACATTTACATGGACCTCACAAAGACTGAATTAAATGGAGTGCAGGTGATGGTTTCTGTTCACACGTTTGATTTTCATGGGTGGATACTGGAAGCCAGGTTACATGTGCAATGCTTCTTTTCCTCCATATTTTAATTTTAAAAGCTCACAGCTCCAAGATCCCATTCAAAATGAGCAACTAAAGATGAAAAGGTGTTAGTGGAATCAAGAAAGACCAGTGGATTTTTGTCCTGCTGGACAGGCCTGGAGATAAAAGGCAGGGAGAACGAGAGAGGCGGCGAGAGAGGAAGCAGCACCTATAAAAGCTCACCTTTCTTGTGGATGTCTGGCTAACCTTTACCAGTGATCCAGTCTTTGAGCAGCTCTGTGACTTTGTTTACACATTTTGACCAATCGGGAGTATCTGTGGATCTTCCCTTTATGATTTACTTGGAACGTGTATTAACCAATATGACCTGACAGCTTTCTCCCCAACAAAAGGAAGAGATCTCTCATTCTAGCCGAGTGTCATTCAGCTGTCCTGAATCTGAGATGAGTGCAATTTTGCATCCCTGTTCCACTCCCAGGATTTCAAAATAATAATAATTATAATTATAATAATGAATAAATAATAATAAATTAATACATGATTAAAGCACAAGAAGCAGACCTTGAAGGAGGCCAAACAAAGCTGTTTTGAAATCTGTATATATTTATTTATGTGTAATTAAATCAAAAAGTTTTAAAATGTCTAGTGCACGTTATTTATATTCAATTAAGTTGGGACTTCACTGATTTTTTTCCCTTCTTTTTGAAAGATAAAGTCTTTGGAATTTTCTGGAATGAAATTTTGGATCCACAACATAATAGCATGGACAAGGCCTGTGATGCTAATAACTAGAGATACTTCGCCCAGTTGTTTTTTCTTTTGTACATTGTTTCTCTTAAAAAGCTGCAATAGATGTACAATGCCACCACCACCAAAATGTCAGTCATTATCTTAATAAAACCTCTTTTTATTTGGAAAGAGACTTCCAAACCTGTGTTTTTGATACTGGAAACAAAATAGTTGGGTTTTGCTGGAGTCAAATTTGTCAGAGCAAAAGTTAAAATATCCAAGGAAGTTTGACAATTTAGTTGGGAGGAACAAGTGTTCTGGAGTAAGCTGATATTTGGGTCAATATTTGCAGTAATACTTTGTGGTAGAGTTAAGATGCCTCTGTCCTTTGAACTTAAATAGCAATAGATATAGATATCCAATATCCAAAAACGGGTCAATCTACCTCCTTCCTTCTGCACCAGGAAAGGGACAAGAAGTTGGACGAGGATGCAATAGAACCAGTTTGGGAACATGAACTTTGAGCTAGCCAAAAACCAATGCAGTGAGGGAAAAGCACACTCTGCTGAGCACGGGGGGGGGGGGGGAGCATAGCTTAAATTAAAAAGCAACCCTCCAAATCCACTGCTTGTATATGAGGGGCTGGATTCATGCTTACTGAAGGCTCATAATCTGGATAAATATTGTGATGGAAAGTTCTTCAATGTTCAGGGATATGCTTTTTAAAAAATTACCTACCCATCTTTTGGAATTCAATGCAAAGTCAACATTAATTGATTTTCTGTGCCCCTTTGACAGCTAAAAGGCTAATAATACACTAGAAATATAAATGGCAACCTGCCATAACACGTTGGGTATAGGATTTGATGAAACTGTTAGTTTTTTCACTGGTGGCCTCTAGGCATAATTTACAAATGGATAAATATATGGAGGTTTGGGATACCTTGTTGAAGCTTATGGATAATTTATTTTTAACAATGGCAGTATGTGCTGCTATATGTTAACACACACACACACACACACACACAAAACTGGTGCTATGGATCTTTTTACATTTTGTTCAAAAGTTGTAATGTTTCAGGGTGGTGTTCCCTGCCCTTCCCCCATTTTAATAGTGCAATTTGGAGGGGGTTTTGTTTTGCACAATAAAACATTAATTAAAAAGATACATAGTGTAGACCTACTGAAATCACTGAGACTTGTTAGTTAGTCAAGGGTCTACTCTGAGTAAATTCAGTCTGGATCCAAACCACAATCTCTAGGGAAACAGCCCAAATTGCAAAATGCTCCAGAGCCTGAAAAGCAGCTGACTATTTTTCAGTCTTCTGACAAACGAGAGTTTTGTCATTTTGATTGTTTTTTACGCACACCTTTGGCTTTCCATGGGACTCGGTTTGGTGAGGGTGAGGAGAAAGACACATCCTTTTCTTGACTGCCTTTTCCTCTGCATGCAGGGCTGGAGAGAAATGTAACGTAAAAAGAAGTGAGATGTCCTTGTCTAGCGTTTAAAAGGTGACCCGTGCAAGCCAGCCTTGAGGGGCGGCTCTGCGGATGGAGTGTGGCTGCCCAGGACTGCTGGGCCTCCATGACCAGAACCTGCCGTGATGCGTAGCTGCCTCACATGTGCGGGATGGTGTCAATTGGTGTCCGCAGCAGCAGGGTGCACCCCCATGGCCGTCACGGACTCTTCCAACTCTGTGGCTCTAAGGCAGTTTCTTCCTTGTCTGCTGTGCAGGAAGCTCTCCCCATTATTGGGCGAGTTGCATGTGCAGCTTCCATTTGAACTGCAGGGGCACCTCTTGCCCCTATGCTTGCTTAGCTTCATCAGTAACTCAAAGCCTTTGGAAATGCATAGGCTGAACAGCCATTGGGATGGGGGCAGGCACAACAGGGAGTAAGAAAACCACCCAGAGAGCTTCAGTTGGGGGCCATATTGAAATGAAAACGGCGACCATGCCCAGAATACCTTGTGCTGTGTTCAGTTCTGCGTTTTCAACTCACCCGCACCATAGCTCTGTTAGAAACACTCCTTTCCTTCAGAAGAGAAAAATATTCCAAGCATGCAGAGAGTTCTTTTTAAAACTTCATTGCAATAAAAGGATTGAAAAATGGCTTCCTTCCCATTCTCCAGCTCACCTGAGCACATGTCCACATCCGATTTTATGCCCTGCCCTTGGCCGCTTCTCCCTCCTCCTTTCCCCTCATTGCCTGGGGTGCCGGGAGTTCACACTCTTTCCGCCCGCCTGCTCCGCACTGCTCCAACACCGGCCCTTATCCCAATCCAGCCCTGCCCCGGTGCGCTACGACAGGCTCATTTTCTTCTGACAAGCTTGTCAATAAACAAGTCATTGAGTCAGTATTTGGCCATCCTGCCTGTCTGCTTTCTCACACCCTGTGTTGTCTGATCTTAGCCCGCCCCCTCCTTTGGGCTATGTCATTTTCCTTGTTACCCTTTAAATTTTGCTACTTCCTTGTTTCAAATCTTCCTTTCACACCTATCAGCTCTAACTGCAGGAATAGAAAGGGCCCTGCTCCAGGTGCCCTTATATTCTCATTGCCTGCCCCTCGCGGGGTAAGTGGCTTTCTTGGGGGGGGGGGGGGGGGCTGCTGGGGCCCTGGACCTGAGCACTGCCTGCAGCCCTCACTGTACTAAGGGCCAAGAATTCATGACGCCCGAACGAGTGCAGATCGCAGAGTGTTCTGTTCACCCTGCCGGTCCACCGCTCTGATGCTCAAGAGGGACATGCTCCCAAAGGCCTGGAAGTAAATCTCTGGCCCCAGAGGTCAACTGACCACTAGCATGACAAAGGATGGGGCTCAGCACACTTCCCCTTTCCTCAGCAGCTTAAGGCTTTGCCACCCGAGAGAAAACCCCCTTCCAAGGAGTCCTGGGAGGCACTGAATGATGGCTCTCGGCAAATTCAGAGGAATTCTGTCTGCGTCCACGTATTTGCCCCTGCGATGCTATGCCAGACACCCTGTTTCATAACTGAGTGGCGCTCCAGGATAGAAGCAAGCAGCCATTTTCATAGTCTTTCAGAACATAAAGGACCTCTTGCTTTTGCTGCCTGAAGATTTTCTGGAAGCAAATGTGACGTGAGGTGGGGACCGCGAGTGCCAACCTCAGAAAAACCGTTGGCAGCGGCAGGCCTCAAATCTTTAGCCGGCTGAGGCAGTTCAGCCAACGTGACCCCTCCAGCCCTCGGGCGATGTTTTCACTGCCAATCTGCCAGCCTCCTCTTGAAGTAGGGGCTGGAATACTGAGGGAAATATTAATGCGCAAACACATAAGTATCGGTCAGACACAACAGCCGAAGCAAACAGGCTGGGGAGGACTAGCCTTTTTGTCCACCAAAGGGGAAAAAAGACAGTTTAGGGCACAGTCCCTGCTGGCCGAAAATGCTGTGAGTTGTTGGATTTTTTTTCTGTCTAAGCATGACCTGCATTGTGCCCTAAATTGGCCTCTAATGGAGCCAGGGTTCCCCCCACCACCATTTAATTAATTGGAAAGTAACATTAAACATCTTGTAGAAATTTATAGGATTTGAAACCATGAAAACATTTCAAACCGATTGCTATATAAATCAGGAGTGTTTTTCTTTCCGTGCACCCTCCTCACCGCAAATTGCTAATAGCTTGCCTTCAGTGTTTCGCATTTTTTCGTTTCGGCAAGCGGTATCCCCCTTTCCCAACTGGAGGAGCAGGCAGCAGGCATGCTCACGAGGGTGGTGACATTTTCGGTCAAAATAGACCTGCCATCCTTTCTCAAGGGGGTGATTTTTCATAAAGCAATTATAGAAAGATTAAGGAAGGGAATTAAGGAAGTGCACTGGTTTGGTTGTGATACAAAACCCTGATTTAGTGCAAACTTCCTCACCTTGCCTCCTGAAGATGCTGTGGACTGCAGTTCCCATCCATGGCAGCCAGCACGGCAAATGGTCCTGGATGATGGGAGTTGCAGTCCATAATACTGGGGGAATCTGGTTTGATGCAAGCTGTGCAGAGGAGCCTGGGCAATATACTGGCCTTGCGCACGCTGCTTTCCACACTCCTGTTTTGTGGCCGCTTAACCATAATTCAGGTTCCCATTGGCTGATTCCTGGCTTGATACAAACCAATAATCACCGCTGGAAAGGAACTCTTTTTTAAATAATAAGCCAACAAAAACCCTG